CATCACGAGAAAGTTGTTTTACGATTGTTACATACAAGATTTTCCATAATCTCAGAATTCGTTCCAACCAGCCAGAACTTGAATTTATTAAGAACTTACAATATGTAATGAACAGTGGACTAATACAGGCCCTGCTGCACTTTGACAAAGTTCAATATTTAAACGTTTTTACTGCACTTATTTGTGTTACTCCAACTGATGTATGTATGTTTTAACACATTCCTGTGTGTTCGCAACTGACGTACGCATGTTCTAACACTTATTTGTGTTACTCAAACTAATGTGTGTGTGTGTTCTAACACTTATTTGTGTTACTCCAACTAATGTGTGTGTGTGTTCTAACACTTATTTGTGTTACTCCAACTAATGTGTGTGTGTGTTCTAACACTTATTTGTGTTACTCAAACTACTGTGTGTGTGTTCTAACACTTACTTGTGTTACTCCAACTAATGTGTGTATGTTCTAACACTTATTTTTTTTCAACCATGCTTGAAAATTAACAAACGAATAATCATTATTGCAAAATAGGTTTCAATTTTCATGTTTCTGTTCATCATTTTCTTTCTTTTTTTTCAGATGTCTTTTTTTTTTGTTTATATATAGTTTCATGACTTTACTGACAACATTAACTAAAGATGAACTTTTTGTGACTACCAGTTTATATATAGTTTCATGACTTTACTGACAACATTAACTTTTAGAACTGTATATATTTTTTCAAAATATTGTTTTAATGCAGAGATACACAAGAGCTTATCTGTAGTTTGTCCAACACAGGGAATTGAACTTCGTATTTTTATTAAAAAAATGTTCATGAATTTTCACATTTTAATTTAGTTTCGTTCCTACATTCAGAACTTTGTGACTGTCAGTTTATATATAGTTTCATGACTTTATTGACAATATTAAGTAAAGATGAACTCTTTGTGACTGTCAGTCTATATATAGTTGTATGACTTTACTGACAACATTAACTATGGATGAACTCTTTGTGACTACCAGTTTACATATAGTTTCATGACTTTACTGACAATATTAACTAAAGATGAACTTTTTGTGACTACCATCGTGATTAGTCTGATGCTAAATTAACAAAACTAAGTTTCGGTCGTGATTAGTCTGATGCTAAATTAATAAAACTAAGTTTCGATCGTGATTAGTCTGATGCTAAATTAATAAAACTAAGTTTCAATCGTGATTAGTCTGATGCTAAATTAACAAAACTAAGTTTCGGTCGTGATTAGTCTGATGCTAAATCAATAAAACTAAGTTTCGGTCGTGATTAGTCTGATGCTAAATCAATAAAACTAGGTTTCGGTCGTGATTAGTCTGAAGTTGGGGAATTTTGTCTTTTTTTTGTATGCCTAGTCGAAGATTCTTGGTAACAACCCTGAGAACTAAAGTTGCAAGGACTTGGATGGCAGTTGCTGTCACCAAATCTTCTTTTTTTATAGTTATGAATCTGAAAAATGCTTCTTTCATTGATTGTTTTGGATATTCGCACAAAGTTATACAAGGACTATCTGTGCTAGTTGTCCCTTATTTTAAAGTGTAAGAGGCAGTTAGTCAATGATACCAAACGCCAACTCTTGAGCTACTCTAACTGAATAATGTGATTTAACCGTCACACCTATAACGCACTTACGACCACAAAATGAGAAGCGCGATTTTTTTTGTGAGGTAAAATGAGGCGAACCATGGGTCTGGCATGCTAACCACTAGGCCACGCCTGGTAAAAAAGAAAGTAACAAATTATTATACATTTATTTTAATTTTATCAACATAGTAAAGTCAAATATAATAACTTAGCCGCAAAGCATACAATACGCAAGTAAAAAAAAAAGATTAGGTATTTACCTGTTCCAACGTTTGAAAGCAGCAACATATAATTTGGAAAGCATCTTACAAATTTAGTTAACTTATTAAGTTCAAATGCGATTAAAAAGGGTTAAAACGTGTTTAAAATTTAATATCTAGCTGTGGAATTTTAAGAATATGAAATCGGTCTTCACATTTCAAGGGCGCCTTACAGTTAATTAAAAAAATAAAAACTATCATCAACATCCACGGAAAGAAATGAAATCGCAGGCCAACAACTAAATTTAAATTTGCAAATAAACTATTTTCTTGAGAAGTTATTTTTCATCGAAATACTCGTTTACATGGAAACTACATTAATTTCTACTATCTACTTATTTGCCTATTGTTAAAAACAAATGGGCTATCTGTGCTGTGCCCACCACGAGTATCGAAAAACCAGTTTTCAGCGTTATAAGTCCAAAGACTTTCCTCTGTGTTTTCTACTATCTATAAAAACTATTGTTCCGGTTTTGTGATTTAACAGATGCTTTAGCATTTAACATCTTGTTTACTTTAATAATATTTTCGACATACGTAAATATATGCACGAGAGAAATATTGCATGAAGTTAATATCAAACTTATGCTCTTTTATATATGTACAACTTGTATTGCTTTTCAAAACTGGAAGCATGTTCGTCCTTAATCACAAGTTTCTTATTCATGATACGGTTTGTTTATTATTTAAGCGTAGTATCATATATGGCCAAGAGATGACACTACCACTCGTGCGAGTAATGTCTGTACACCTCTACTTCGTACAGGGCGACATTTCAAATCTATCTTCTGTCTTCCACAAGTCACTGCGAGATAGGCTCTTTTTTCATTACCAGAAATTTTCAGTTGGACTGGACGATGAGAGACAAAATATTCTCTTAAGCCTATATATATATGTAGTATAATGTTTTAAAAGTTACGGTTTAAATGCCGAAAGCTGGCGAAGTCTTAGTAAACAATAGGCCTAGCATTTGTGATAAAAATCACGTAAACTACTGATGGTTTTTCACGACATTCCTTTTATTTTTTCCACTTCACATTCACAGTCATGATTTTCCCAGCAATAAAACATTTATCTAATCTTTTTCTTTAGCTTAGTCTTTTTTTTTCACGAACTCACTAACTTGCATTAACGTATTTCTTTGTTAACATCAAGACTTTTGAAAATCCAACATACACACTAGAACAGTGCATTATTTCAAGCCAGTTAACATTTAGAGTTGAAAACATCATAAAAATCTAATGCTAAAAATATGTTGTTTTTTTAAATAAAAATGCTTATAAAAATCTGTTTATCTATACTATGCACTCGAAACCATTCTAACCCGCTTGTAATTGAAGGATTTAACGGCCATAAACTTATCCCGACCGCAGTCACGTTAATGTTCGATAATGACTTTTAACAATCGGTTATTATGAAGTGAATACTAAATTTCGAAAAAAAAAAAATCAGTCACGTGTTTAGATTCCAATGACAGTGTAATCAAGAAATTTTTTGAATGTTTTTTTTTTCTCTACTTAAACATCCTGGCATCGCCTTGAATCTGTAATCAACAAGTACACTTCCTAATCTTCTCGTACATTCCCACAAACCAAATCAGTTGCTTTTATTCGATAATATGCTTCATCCTTTCTCGAGTTCATTGATATATATGTTGCTGCTTTACAATTTTTATACGTTTACAATATACCTATTGTTTGATACTCGTATAATAATACTGAAGTTGAACTCTTTGTGACTTATATATAGTTTCATGACTTTATTGACAACATTAACCAAAGATGAACTTTTTGTAATTGTCAGTCTATATATAGATGTATGACTTTACTGATAACATTAACTAAAGATGAACTCTTTGTGACTGTCAGTCTATATATAGTTTCATGACTTTATTGACAACATTAACCAAAGATGAACTCTTTGTAATTGTCAGTCTATATATAGTTGTATGACTTTACTGACAACATTAACTATGGATGAACTTTTTGTGACTACCAGTTTATATATATAGTTTCATGACTTTATTGACAAAATTAACTAAAGATCAACTATTTGTGACTTTCAGTCTATATATAGATGTATGACTTTACTGATAACATTAACTAAAGATGAACTGACACATATTTCCACAAAGAGCAAGTTATTATTTTTAAACAGGCTCGCTAAATTAATAAAACTAAGTTTCGGTCATGATTAGTCTGATGCTAAATTAATAAAACTAAGTTTCAAGTGTTAATATAAAACAGGGCTTGTGTTAATATAAAACAGTGCATGTGTTAATATAAAACAGTACATGTGTTGATATAAAACAGTGCATGTGTTAATATACGCCACTGTTTAGAACAGTTATATTTCTTCAAGTAAAGCAGTATATCAATAAAAGCATGTTAAAGTAAGACTGAACGTGAATAAGGCATTTAGTTGGTGTCGTCAATTCATTTTTCGCGCGTGCTATCTATACAACAGATCGTCTTAGGATTAGATAATATTGTACACTTACTCTTGTCGTATACTGGCAAGAAGTACGTTTAGGATTAAAAGGTAAATTTCTGAACAAAACGTTCACAACAACAACTTTAGGTTTACCAGAGTTGAGAAATACATTCTTCTTCTTCACATCACAATAAAATCTTAGCGTTTAATAGTGATTGCCACAGACACAGTTTTATCATAATTCATAGAAAGTCATCTTGTTTTAATAAGGTACACTGAATTACTATGTACACACGAGATATTATTTGGATTACGGCCGAAAACATCGTAACAGTGTAGATAGCCAACTGATAAAGTAATGTGTTGTAATCATTCTACGTAACAACGTAAGAACAGTATATTTAATTTACTTGGTTGAGTTTGAGTAGTGATCCATGTAAGTAGCTTGTTTTGATCAGAAGTTGATATTAAATTAATAGCATTTCCAACGACAGCGTTTACATTTGGTAATTGTTTTGTCTTCTTAGATTTAGACAAACAGATTTTACTGAATATTGGAGACTGACAATGGTGGTGGTGTTAACCGCTATTTGTTTTGTTTCTCCTTGTAATTTCATTCATTACCAGGTAAACATGACATCGTGTAATTTACACTTAAATTTTGATGTAAAAAATGAAGATGTATGTAATTAGTGTTTGCTAAACTTACCGAGTGAGTCCAAGAGGTCGTAATAAATTTGACGTTTTTTACTCTCACTGCAATTTAAACACCGCGGAACATCATAGTCCTGAGAAGCTTTCACATTTTCTGGTACGTCATACGACACTGTCGCTACCTAGTGGAGAATTTATAAATTATAAATCTATTAAATTATCGTGCAAGTTTTACACAATAAAACGAATGACGACTAAGGTAAGTTGATTAGAACCCAATTACTTCGAACAATAAGTTATCAATCGGTTATTTTTTTGTGATTTCTGTTTGTTTCTTTTTTTAATACAGATATATATATAATCTTTTACCTCATAATTTCCTTTTATGAGAGATGTTAGCGACCTTTGCTTTACTAATGGGTTTGATCAACATTTACTTATAGTTAACTATCATTCAGTAATTTCTAAGTCACAATTTATTCGCCTAATTCAATGCATTTTGAATAGGCCCACATACACATTTTAAACATATACATAGTAATAGAATAATACATATATCATATTCAATCACTAAGACTTGTTCATGAAAAAAAAAGAAGCAATTTAACACACATCTCTAAAATTTTATAGGACTAAATATTTACAATTATGGAAACTTAAAACTTTCTTCATGACCTTTATGATTCGGAAAATTACGATATATATATATTATATAATACATCCAGCCAACGACATGTACCAGACGCCAGTCTTCTTTATTTATTTATTTAGATATTGTACACTACAAAACAATAATGTAATTGTTTTACCAGACATTAAATGCTCTCGGAACCCTAATTATTAATACCAACCATCAATGAATTCACGCATATTTTTCTCTTACATTTTTATAAAATGATAAGATATTTTGCAAGGGTCCAAGAAAATTATTTGTTTGTTTGGTTTTTTTAATTATGCACAAAGGGCTATCCGTGCTCTGCTAACACGGGTATCGAAACCCGGTTTCTGGCGTTGTAAGTCCGCAGACATACCGCTGTGCCACTGGGAGGCAAAAACAGCAATACATGCCGAATGAAAATTATTTCAGGGCTTGTGTCAATATAAAACAGTGCATGTGTTAATATAAAACAGTGCTTGTATTAATATAAAACAGTGCACGTGTTAATATAAAACAGTGCTTGTGTTAACATAAAACAGTGCATTTTTATATTAACACATGCACTGTTTTATATTAACACAAGCTGTTTTATATTAACACATGCACTGTTTTATGTTAACACATACACTGTTTTATATTAACACGTGCACTGTTTTATATTAACACATGCACTGTTTTATGTTAATACATGCACTGTTTTATGTTAACAAAAGCCCTGTTTTATATTAACACATGCTCTGTTTTATATTAACACATGCACTGTTTTATATTAACACAAGCCTTGTTTTATATTAACACATGCACTGTTTTATATTAACACAAGCACTGTTTTATATTAACACATGCTCTGTTTTATATTAACACATGCACTGTTTTATATTAACACATACACTGTTTTATAT